CCCGCGCCGTCCCCGCTCGGTACCTGCCCGCCTGTTACCGTCCGTCTGTCTCTCTTTGTCCGCCAGATTATCAGAGCGAGTATTACGGCCCTGGAAGCAATTACGATTTCTTCCCGCAAGGACCGCCCTCGTCCCAAGCGCAGACCCCCGTGGATCTCCCGTTCGTGCCCTCCTCGGGGCCGTCAGGGACCCCGCTGGGGGCCATGGACCACCCCCTGCCCGGACACCACCCCTCGAGTGAGGCTCAGCGCTTCACCGACATCATGTCGCACCCCCCGGGGGACTCGCCCAGCCCCGAACCCAACCTGCCCGGCTCCTTGCACTCCATGTCCGCGGAAGTTTTTGGCCCCAGCCCCCCATTTTCGTCGATATCCGTCAACGGTGGTGCTAACTACGGCAATCACTTGTCCCACCCTCCAGAGATGAACGAAGCGGCTGTGTGGTAGCTTTAAACGAACTGGGTCTAAGTAAGTGATGATCATCTAGTCTGCTTATTGTTATGGTGTACAGAAATGAATTCATATAACATCTCTCCCGCCCTAGGACAATTTTACCTTGGGAACGAACTGAATCCAATCGCTCCAAGGCAAGCTTTGCTCTAGACCAGGACAATCTTCATGTTATGGTTGTATCAAACAAGCAAGGGGACTTTTTTGTACCATTGACAAAGAAACTGGGGAAGCTGTACAGTAACAGTGCTGCCATTCCGTAGGATGGCTAAGTTTGATTACCCTGTTGGATGTCATCCTAAGAGCCACAATCCTTAGAAACTTCTCGTTTAAAAAAAAAAAATAAAAATAATTGAATGAAGGAGAGGTCAAAGAAAAGGGGAAAAAAGCTTCAAGAACTCTCTATAGCGTTCCTGGTTAAGGATGGTTCTGGCATTATGAATCTGTTTGTTCATTTTTGTCTCTCAGAAAGTTCGACAACAAGAAACTCTTTTTAGCTTCAGCCATTTCAGCCTGCTGACGATCAGGTGGGACAACTTTTCCTTTTTCCTTTCTTTTTTTTCTTTTCTGTTTTGTTTCGGTAGTTTTGGTTTGGTTTCGGTTGTTTGTTTTTTTTTTTCCAAAAATAGCAAATACTAAATGTTAAGCCCTCAGCACCAACTCTTCTACCTTCACAAAGCTACACGTACAAAACCTCCTCATCATAGCAAAGGTCACCACCCAGACCTCTAACGAAAATGACTTGAAAAAACAAACAAACAAAAAGTATTCTACCTTCACAGAGAGAGAAAAGCTAAACAAAAAGACTCTATTGAACTAAAAACAGTCAACTGTTTACGTCTAATGTTAAATTCAGGAGCTCAATGTTTTACTAACAAATCCTGTTTTAGAAAAACCTCTTGTTCAAAAGCAAAAGATTTTGAGCAGCCAACCAAAATAGTTCATTTTCTTTTCTGTAGATGTTCTAACAGATTGCAGGGCTTGTGGTTCACTGTGCTAGTTTGTAAAAGGTGTTGTTTACAGAAGGCAAAGAAAAAAAAAACCCACAAAACCCAGACAGTTGCCAAATAAAGTAAATATATAGCACAAATACTGTAAGGTGCTTTGCACCAGCAACCCGAGAAGGTGTTTAAAAGTGTTACAAGGTTAAAAAGAAAAAAAAAATAGACAAACATCTTTGCTAATTTTTAGTCCTGTTGAACATTCATGGAATTGTTAATATGACTTATATAGACCCACACAGGTTTTATTTTTGTGTCTTTAAAATAAAAGTCCAAAATATTTAAATTTTATGGTCAAATATGCAGTCAACAGCTGCTACTTTTTTCTTTATATATTAAATTTCTCATATGTCTTTTATTGTTCTAATGAACCTAAGCTTGTGTGACCTCCAGTGCATATTAGACCATTCACTGTATGAAAGAAAACATGTTGGATAAAATTTGTGCGTTTTTAATAAAATTAGAAAATCTGATGTTTAGATAACTCGTGTTTCATTTGATGTTTTAAGCAATTTTTGGAAATTGATTCTCTGGAGTCAAATAGCCCTGAGAAGGGAAGATCCACGCTGCTGCTGATCCTGGCAGCTCTTTGGCTCTGGGGGAAGCCTCAGCCCTGGTGTCGATGCACACAGCGGCCACAGGCAGCTCCAGCCTTTCTTTCCATCTCCAGGCTCAGCTGTTGAAGCCCAAATATCCTCTTCCACAGCATTTTAAATTTTAAAATTCAGAAATGATCAAATTATTCAATATCTTCAGTTATTTTCACTCTGTGCTAAGATAGAGCATTGGAAATGCTGATTTTATGCATAAATAGAAACGTGTTGAAAATGTAAAACGCTTGCAAAGATACGGATTGCAATTGATCCACTTTTAGTTAATTCTCTGAAGGTAATTTTGGGGTTTTTTCTCCTAATTGGATGGTTTGGACACAGCATAGCCTCAATGTCCTGGAAGTAATTTGAATCCTTTTCTCTTAGAGCTGAGGCAGAGTCAGTGCATTGGCGGCGTTTGCTCGTTCTGAAGTTCTCTAAAGGCAGTGGGGGAGAATATTTTGCTTTGCCCTCGATGCAGCCTCATTCTCTTGGAGAAAAATGAAACAAAAAAATCCTGGAGCCTTGAGAAATGCCAAATTTCACGTTTTAATTATCGACCGTGAATATTCGGTTCTTCAAAAGCAAAATTCCCGCTGATTCCGAGAGGACCTGGAGCTGTGCTGGGGACAAAGAGTCAGGCTGGGTTCTGCAGAGCCCTGGTTTGAATGTTCCACCTGCTGGGTTAATGGAAAGGGACGAGCTGGGATTGCATCTCCTCCTTCCTCTGCTGGGGCTGCCTTCGCTTGCATTCGATGCAGACACAGAATTTTATGGTAACCCCCAGAACTCCCCGTTCCCAGTGATTCCATTATTTCTCTCTTTGGACTGGGGATGGGAAAAGAGCCAGCTCTAAATGCTTTTGAGTTGTATAGTTTGTGATTTTCAATGGTGATTTTTGATTTTGTTCAATACCTAATTTCTATGCCCAGCCGAGGGGCCACCTAGATGAAGCAATAGTTCACTTTAAACACAAAATGTCTTATATAATAACACTATAAAGATAAAAAACTATCTGCAAGGGATCTGTTAGTGTTTCTAAAAAAATAATTCATGCTTTATTAAATAGGGGAGACTTCTTAAACTCCTGGACTCCGTGTCTAACTCATTTGTTTGTCTTTTTTGCTATCGCCATGTTTTGTTGCTCTGGTTTGCATTTATATAAGCAGAGGAATGGGTGATTTATTTATTCCAAACTTCTACTTTTCTGGGAAAGATAAATATTGCTGTTTGTGCTGCTGGGCTGGGCTGCTGCTTTATTGTTGAATCAATGATTTTAAATGCGGACTTTGCCAAATAGGTTTGTTTTGTAGGAAATTTTGAGGGGTTCTTCCCTTTCTTTCTTTCTCTCTCTCTGGGTCCTTGTACAGTTTATTCTGTGTTCATTCAGGCAGTGACAAGGCTCGGTTTAGGTTGTAAAAAGGAGAGTTTGTGTTTTTGTGATGCTCCCATCGCTTCCTCGGGGCTGTGCTGGCTTTGGGGGAGCCCAGGAGCCGTTCCCATGGCCGAGGCCCAGCCCCAGCCCGTGGAGATGGGAATTCTGCTCTCCTCAGAGCCAGCTCGGTGCGTCTGAAGCCCCTAATCCAGCAACAATTGCACCGTCAAACTCCTTTTGAAAGCATTGTCACGATGGCTTCTTGTAAGTCCTTGTTTACAAGAGCATTTCCATTGACTCTGGCGGCGTTCCCTGGTGGGTGGAGGGATGGATGGACGGATGGATGGAGGGATGGATGGATGGACGGACAGATGGATGGATGGATGGACAGGAGAAGGGCCTGGGGCCATCCCAGGGTCCTGCACTGTCTGTGCCGTGCAGAGCCCGGCTCTGTGTCCGTGCAGGGCCTCCCCAGGTGCCCTTTGGGCAGTAACTGCTCTCCTTTGGTCTCTCCTGCTGCCTGCGGTGCCCTCGGGGCCGCGTCCCAGCCGAGGGCAGAGCTGGCACTGCCCCTGCCCTGCCTGGCACGGCCGGGGATGCCGGGCCCAGCTGCAGATCCGTGCCCAGCCCCTGTGAGAGCTGCTCCAGCCCCAGAGGGCTCCAGGCACTGCTGTGAGTACTGTCCGTGTGAGGCTGCTCTCCGGGAGGGGAATTTGCAGGGTGATCAAAGTCTGTAAAATGCCACGAGTTTCCAAAGCCCTGCTTTGGCCCAAATGTCCCACACTGTCCCACCAAGGCTCCTCTCTGCCCACTCCCTCGCTCCCCAGGCCCTGCTGGGATCTGTTTGTTTGGGGATAGAAAGGGGTTTGGGAAGATCTGTATCCCAGGAGGAAGGATGTATTTAAATGATGATTTGTAGATAAATTATTTGTAATATTTTACTGTCTGTACCCAGGTGCTGAGCGATGGGTACGGGATACAAATTGATAAATAAATATAATTTTAAACTGTCAGTGGTGACTGACATACTTTTGCTATCCTGCTATCCTGGAAGTGGCAGATCTTGCAGTGTCCTCTCAGGAACGGTTCCTTTTGCTGTAGTCTGGATTTGTACCTTAAATAACTGTGTTGTTTTTAAGCTTTTCATGTTCTTACAATATGAAATTGAAGCACTTGCAATCCCCGTTTCTGTTCCTACCCCTAACAGATAAATTCACATCTACTAAGTTTAAACAATTGATACAAATCCTTCTGTGCTGGTGAGCTGGGAACAAGGAACTGTGATGCTGGAGCAGGTTCTGGGAAATCCTTTCTTTGTCTCTGCCATGGCATGGAGTGCTCGACATTCCTCATGCCAACAAAACACCCATGAAGGTATAAATGAAATTAGTGTGTCTATTTTAAAATATTTTGATTATAAATCTGGGATTTGTTTATTTGTTGATAGTACTTGTGGTGGTTTAGCTACAGAGCTCGTGCTTGGAAAGCAGAGTTTGATGTGAGAGTGGTTCACTCATTAAATGCAGAATTGTAACACAGGACTTGGAGAGGAAATGTGGCCTTGTGGTGACGTGGGCTCCAAACCCCTCACTCCGTGTCCCTGGGGCTGTGGAACCGTGGTGTGGGGTGTTCTTGGGGTGTTCTCAGGGTGTCCCTGCAGGGCTGTTCCCTTGGCACACGGGATCACAGCTGTTGTTTCTGTTGGCATCTCGTGGTTTTGTTGTGGAACATCCCCTGGTGACCCTGCTGGGACACGGCTGGGCCTGGGCTCTCTTGCAACTTCTGCTCCGGGATGTCACCAAACCCAGGGACAGCTCTGCCTCCATGCCGTGTGGGCACTGCTCACAGTCTGGGAAATCTAAGAATTAGGGGCATTTTTGCTGTTTGGTTTTACCCCAAGCTCCCTCCTGAGGGATCTGACGGTGCCAGGCTGCTGGGATCCCTGGTGGCTGGGAGGGAATCCCGGCCCAGGCCTGCAGGGCACGGCTGGGCTGTCCAGGGTGCCTGGGCAGGGGGATAACGGTGGCACAGCACAGAACCTGGGCTGGAAATCCTCCCCTGGCTGCTCAGAGCCGGGTGAGAGGAATTCCAGGGGCTCTGGGGGATTTCTGGGAGTGAAGCCTGGGGAGAGGCTGCCTCACACTGCCCTGGTGCCTGTCTGTGCGCATAGGAGAGCACACAGAGGGTGGTTTGCTTGAAAATCAGACATTTTGCTCCTTCTAAAACCAGTTTTTGTCTAGTTTTTAAAGTGCCTTTGGGTGGCCTTTAAAATTCCTATCTGCTGTAAGGATCTTTGGGCTGTGCATCTCTTCAGACACACTCTGTTCCTTCTATTTTTCAATGTAGGAACCATTAAGGGTTGATAAAATCTTTAAAGCAATTGTGTTTTTTGAATGAAGGATGGGTTAGGAATAGCAGAAGTACTCAAGTAAATAAAAGCACAGAAGAAAAATACTAATAAATATTTATAAGGAGAGTTTCTTTATGTACATAATCTAAATTTTATGTAATTTGTTTTAGTGGATGGAGTTTGCTTGTGTTCTTTTCTGTTTCTCCCAAGTTCTTTTCACTTCTTTTTTCTCTCCTTTTCATGGATAAATTTGTGTTGCTGGTTTAAAAAGGAAATTTTAACTGAACTAGCAGGACTGAAGCGATAAAGGTCAGTTTGGAGAAGGACATTTGCTCGCCCAAGCGTTGGCAGGATCAGCCCCAGCTCGTGGCTATTTTTGGCCAGCACGAGGCCCTCTGTATATGGGTCAAATTTTGCTCTTGATGAAGTAAGTCAATTAAATTCAGCAGAGGCCACTCCGGGGTGGGTAATTCCCGTGGATCTGTGGGAATGCCGTTGTTGGAACGGGCTCCAGGGAACGCCTTTGGAATGGGCTCCTTGGAATGGCAGTGCCCGAGGGGCTCCACGCTCCCATCCCAGCCCATTCCTGTGCTCTGGTGAAGGAATGGCTCTGAAAGGTGGATTCACATTAACAACCTGTAATTGTACAGGCACGAGAGGATGTACAGCCCTTCCCTGCCACAGCTCCCATCTCATCTGACAATTTCCCAAAAGCTCCTCGGGCACGGCAGCGAGAGACGCTGAGTGGGAGAAATTGGAAGCCGTTCTTACAGCCCAGCCTCTTCCACCTTCCCTTGTTTATCTGCTCTGTGTTCAGGTTATTCCCATCCTAGCAAACAGGCACGTGAATAAAAAAGTAAAATTAAGAGGGAAAATGCCAAAGAGATGATGGCAGTGAGGTTGATGGAGTTTCTAAACAGGCCAAGGGTTTCTCTGAACCGACCGCGAGGCATAAAAAGCCTTTCACGAGTGTCTGAAATGAAAATGCATCGATACAGATTTTGTACAAATATTCCCCTGCTCTATTCCGAGTCCCAGGCACGGCAGCATGGTTGGAGGGCATGTGAACCAGAAATTAAAACCCAGCCCTGGAGTCTGATTTAATTACCCTGCTAAGTGAAAGGCAGAGGAGAGAGAATAAACAGCGGCAAAGGCGACTCTGTGGGTGAAATATTTTAACAATCCCCGACTTCCACGGGCTGCAGCTGCCGTTTGATGTGGCTTTGCACTGACTGCATCTCCTCCTGAAAAATTGTGAATTAACAGGTCCTGTGGCTGTGG